AGAGAGAGAGAGAGAGAGAGAGAGAGAGAGAGAGAGAGAGAGAGAGAGAGAGAGACCGACCTGTTGGCAAGTTGGCGTCGTCGTCAACTGGGGGTGGCTGGCTGCGACTCCTAGCAGCGGCTGCTCGACGATGGGGTCGGCGATGGCTTGACTCCCGGCGGCTGGTTGGCGATGGCTTCAGCGACGCCTTCGGCAGATGCCACACATGAGGGACTTGGCAGCAACGACGGGTGGGGAACACGAGGGAGCTGGCAGCAACGAAGGTCGGGGGATTCGAAATTGGCAAAATCGAAATCACCCCGCCAACCACTCAACAGAACACCCACCCTGACCCACCTGTGTCCGGTAGCGTCCGGTAGGCCCAAAAGTGCCTGAAAATTCAGGCCACTATTTTTCAGAGGGCGCCTGGGACCCGGTAAGCGTCCTGGGCTGGCCCTTTTTTTTTTATTATTTTCTGCTCGGGCCCCTATCTCCGGACCCTCGGTACCGGACACTGGACCCGGACATTTGGCTCCGGACTGTCTGGAACCGGGTCCGGACGTCCGGACGGTTACCATGTTATGGAGGTCTTCTCCTGCTAGGTGGCTTGGGAACAGGCGTGTCTCTATGATCCAGGATGTCGTCGATGTCCACATGGCCGTCCATGGTTGGGGGCAGCTTAGATCTCCATGATGGGAACTGTGCTGTCTCAGCGAAAGGTGCAAGCTTGGAGGCGTGAAAAACAGGGTAAGTGCGTAGGTGACCAGGGATACGAATGACAAACGAGGGACCATCCAAATCATTCCCTACAATATCCAAGAGTTCCCAAGGACCGAAATAGTGAAGCATTAGTTTCATAGAGATGCCAAACTCCTGTCCCAACTCACTACCCTTGACCCAGACACGTTCCCCTACCTGAAATGTGGACTGTCAGCGACATTTGTTCCCAGAAGCAATCATAGCTTCCTGAGATTTCTTGATATGTTCGACAGTCTGCTGCAACAATTTCTCATATTGGACACCAAATTCAATGGTTCCAGGAGTTGCAGCAGTTCAGTTTTCAGGCAGGAGGAAGTCTAGAGCAGATCTAGGCTTCCATCCTAGATGCAACTGATTAGGACTGATGCCGGTGGTGTTGTGTACAACATTGTTGTACAGGTTGGCGATGAGAGGTAATTTTTCATCCCAGTCATCCTGGCTGGGCTTGATGTAATACCTCAGCAGATGCTGCACCACACGGTTCATCTGTTCAGCCTGCCCATTCGCTTCGGGATGATTCCCAGAAGTCATCTGAAGCTGGTTGCCCATCTGTTCAGCGACCTTCTTCCACATCTCACTTGTGAAACGCACTTCTCTATCAGTAACGATTGTCTTTGGCAGTCAAAAGTCCCGTACCCAGTTGTCCATGAACAACTTAATGACATGCTCAGTCCTGGCAGTCTCCGACATGACAATTAGTCTAGCATACTTACTGAACCTATCCACTATGACGAAGATGTGCCTCTTGCCATTCTTGTTGGTCACGAGAGTATCCATGAAGTCCATGGAGATATAGGAATGGGTAGAGGCTTGAGTAACCCAAGCAGAGCCTTGAGTCCGCGACTTGTCTCGTTGACAGACCAAACAGGATTGTATGTACTTATTTGCATCGTCTAGCATATTAGGCCGCCAAAATCGCTATACCCAGTTAGCACTAGTCTTCGTGTAGTTGAAATGTTCCGTTCCGTCGTGGCATTCTCTTAAAAATAAACTACACAAAATTTCCCTAGATGGAACAACTAACCTCTTAAACCACCAGTACCTTTGCCGCTTGGAAAATAGCGGGCCTCGGGTAGGCATCCAACCTTTGCAGCGGCCGAAACGAAACGACGGCCGCCGATCAGATTTATCAACGGCAGTCATCGTCGGGCACGACCTCCGAAAATTCAGGCGCCTGGGAAAACTGCCAGTTTTCCCTATTTTCCCACGCGGGAAAGGTACTAGTGGCTTAAACCCTGCCTTTTCAAGAAAGAGTAACCCATCCACCATCACAAACTCATCAGTGGTGGCCTTGTCTTTGGCCTGTAGTTTGTTGATGATGTCCATCATGATGGGATCTTCCTTCTAGGCTTCCCCCAAAGATCGAGTCACGTCCTCAGATAACCCAAACTCATAAATCAGCGCACCTAGGTAATATGCCTTTCTAGACAACGCATCTGCAACCTTGTTGTACTCTCCTTTCACATAGTCTAGTTTGAGGTCATACTGATTTATGACTTCGATCCAGCGTTTGAGTGCATCGGAGAGAACAGGTTGTGTCTTGATCCACTTGAGGGTCTGATGGTTTGTTCTTAAGTAGAAGAACCTTCCTAACAGATAGTGCCTCCATTGAACAAGTGCCTTGTCGAGAGCATAGAGTTCTTTCTCGTAGATGGACTTCGCCAGCTTCTTTGATGGCATCTTTTTGCTCATGTACTCGACCGGTCTCAACGTTTTCCCTTCTTGCTGAGCCAACACTGCACCAATGTCGTATTGGCTTGCGTCAATGGTTACAACAAATGGCCTTTGCGGGTCGGGTACCATGAGAGAGAGCATGCTTCAAACGCTTGAAAGTTGCCTCACACTCATCGGTCCAGTCCCATGGTGGGTCAAGTCGAGTTACATCAGTCAAGGGAGATGCGATCGTACTATAATTCAATACAAAGTTGCCGTAATAACCACACATTCCCAAGAATGATCTGACCTCAGTCACAGACAGGGGTCGTGGCCAGTCACGTATGCTAGCCACCTTTGCATCTTCGGGCCTAATCCCATCCGCGGATACTTCATGACCAACATACAAGATTCGAGTGCGACCGAACTCACATTTCTCTTTGTTTATCTTATACGTGTGTTGCCGAAGGAGTGAGAGGACTTCGTCTACATGTTGAGCATGCTCCTCGACAGTCTTACTAAAGATAAGTATATCGTCGAGGTACACGACGACGAACTTATCTAAGTAGTCATGGAAGATCCTATTCATGGCGTGCTGGAATGTACCTGGCGCATTGCAAAGGCCAAAGGGCATCACCACAAACTCGTACAGACCGTACGTGGTCTGGAATGCGGTTTTGTGCTGGTCCTCTGGTCTTATAGCAATCTGATGGTAGCCGGATTTTAAGTCTATCTTCGTATAGTACTAACACCCTTGCACCATATCCAATAGGTCGTCGATGCGTGGTAGAGGCTCTGCGTTCTTGACGGTGATGGCATTGAGGCTCTATAATCAATGCACATCCTTAGTGTTCCCCCTTTCTTTGGAACAAATAAGACTAGTGAGCCAAAGGGGGAAGTGCTAGGCCGAATCCAACCCTTTTCTGTGAGCTCTTTCAGTTGCCGACGAAGCTCATCCAACTTGGTCGGAGCCATCCTATAGATTCTCCCTTTAGGCGTCTTGCTACCTAGGATGATCTCTATGGCATGGACAACCTCCCTGTCTACGACTCCTGAGGGTTTCTCGAACAGATCAGGGTACTTAGCGACAATGGTCTCTATCTCTGGGGGTGTTTTAACAGCCTCCCCTTTCGCAGAGACATAGACTAAGTACACACCTTCCTCTTGGTTCTGTTTATAATCATTGTAGAAGGTCAATGTGCACAAACACCCATAAGAGTCTATCAACGTACCAACTTTATACTTAGCTATTCTAACGGTCCTCCCATTAGGCAATTCGTGCTTCAACACTTTCTTGTCCCAGCCAAAGTGGGGCTTGGCAACCTCGAGGTAGTACATGCCCAACAACATGCCGAAAGGCAAATCGTCGCTCACCGGGAATGATATCTTATGATTTAATTCTCCTCCTGGGTAGGAGCAAGTGCAAACCACGTCTTTTACGTAGCCTTCCACCGTCATGCACTAATTGTTGGCCAAGGCACTGCACCTGGTCCTTTAGGCGCAGTCTGTCAACGCAGTCGCGACTTATAAAGTTTCGCGTGGAGCCAATGTCTACGAAGGCGCCGCACTTGCAACCACCCACACCAACTTCCACAATGAAGTGCTCCCCTCTCGGACCTCTACTTAGTGCCACCTAGGACTCACGAGGGTCCCTTGACGACCACTCACCTTGAAGGTCCTCTAAGGCTTCAGACACACCCAACGTATAGAGCATAGTTGGGTCCGGATGTGCCTGCGGGGTGACGAAGGAGTCAATAGCTTCGGCCAACTCTTGAAATGGGGAGGGTACATCACCCGCTTCAATGAGAGTAGAAGCAGCTACAACTTCTACCGGCCCTAAGTGTTTCCCGAGTTGGAGCTCGTAGAGGCCCCAGACTGAGAAGAAGGATACCCACCCTTAGGAGGGATCTTCTGCAAGACCTTCGGGTTCTTGCACTTAAACTGCGTATGGCCGTACTCGCCGCAATTTATGCAAGCACCACGCGACCAACGGTCTCGCCACACTTCTTGATCCAAATTGGCCCTCACCCAAGCAGCTATTTTGTTTGGGTTGGCGGCTTGCCCCTGATTCCTCTGTTGACCGCCCTTGCCGCGGCCTCCTGCCTTAGTCTTAACTACGGTGGCGAGGTTGCTACCCTTAGCACTCTCCTCGCCGTCTAACTCTGAACCCTCCACAAGTTCAGAAACATCATCGATCTCAGTTTGATTCCCTTCGGAATAAACCATCATTAATCGACTACCGTTCTTCTTCCATTCCTGTGGAGTCTTCTTCTTTCTCCCGTCCGTCGAAGGGGTCCGAGCACTACCCAGCGTAGCCTCTAAATCTAGGGTCTTTTTACTGAATGTCTCAAAGGTGTGATACTCACGCCGAGCCTCGCTGCCCAGTAAGTTCCTGATGTCTGTGGGAAGACATCTTAAGAACGTTGTCAATAAGACATGTGGATTGTACTCCAGTCAGGAACGACAATCAGACACTTTACAGTAGTGGTAAGCTCTCACACTGACTTGTACTTCCTAGCATCAAGCTTTAGCAGCCCGTCAGTGGCAATTTGTGCCTGCTAAGGGTTGTGCCATCGAGCCTCCATTAAGTCCATAAAGCTCTCTAGGGTGTGGGTTTGCGCCCAATCACCCATGTTCCTGTCGAACCCCTTTGAAGCTACCAATCCATTCAGCCAGCGACCTGCTGAACCCTCTAAGTAGGATGCAGCAGTTATCACTTCCTC